GTGCGAGGCAGAAATCGGCAAGCGGCCGATCAGTTAGCTGTGCGATCTCCGTGAGCACAACGCACATGTTCAAGAATGCCGCCTCCCTGTCCATCTTGTCCGAGGCCCACACCTCGGCAAGTTCAGGATCGTCAGCGATGTATTGCAAGTCCACTTTCTTGCGAATCGCCTTGAAGGCAAAACCTGCGGCAACCGCGGTGCGGCATGGGCCTTGGGCTCTGCGGACCCCGCCCCCAGGCCGCCCGCGGCCCGAAGGGAAGACGAAGGTTCCACCGCTGAAGGACGGGGGTGGTCGACCTACCCCCCGCGGGTAAAGTTGAGGTGAGGCCCGCCGAGGGCCGACCCAAGGCGACCCGCCCCCTGGGGGGGAAGTTGAGGTGAGATCCAAGTTAGGTTGCCTAAACGCCACCTCGCACCAGAGAAAAACCTGATGCAAAAACCTGGGGAGATTTTTGCATCATGTTTAGGAGATTTTCGCATCATGGTTTTAAGAGGTTTCCCCACTCTAAATCCATGATTTCCAGGCCCCCAGGAGAACCTAACCCCTGCCTGCCCCCGCGTCGTTGAGAGGATTCCCCCCTGGAGAGCACTGATCCCTCTGTGGGTCCGTCGGAAGGGGGGGCGCCTATCAGAGGCCGCCAGTGCGGTTGCCGCAGATCACGCCTTCGGGCACATGTCACCCGCGATGGGGTCACCAGGGACTGCGGTTTCGGCGACCAGGCCGACGTTGTAGCTCCGCCGCGAATACCCACCTGGGTCCCACGCCATCGCCAACGAAGCCGCTCCTCTGAAAGCATCCTTCATCTTGTCCCTGTGCAGCTTAGCCATCGCGTAGCTGATCTTGCTGTCCAGGTCCTTCAACCCGATCACCGCTGTCACAGTCTGGTTGGACGAGCCAGCGACCTCCCTTGCTCTGCGAATCGCTGCGACGATTGCTTGGGGGTCGAGGCGTCGACGGTGTTCCATGCACCTCAGCTCCTCCAGTCGGTCTTGCATGCCAGGGTCCTGCGTGGGGATGTGGTGGAAGAGGATGTATGCCTCCATACCGAGGGCGAGCGCCTTGCAGCAAAACGCCAGAACTGCCGCAGCACCTGGAGCAAAGCGTTGGCGGGGTTCACCAACCCGCGAAGTCAAATTCGATACCACAAACAACAACACTGACACGACAGAATGCGCATCCCCTGGGATGCGGAGATTGCTCAACTTCCCAGCGCCCGCCAAGAATCTAGCCCAGCCATCGCGCAAGCGCGGGCTAGCAACCGCCTCGCCCCAACCTTCGACTGCTCCATTGGTAAAGTCCAGCGTCAGACGGTCGGAGGTCAACCTGCCCTCGAAATGCGCCTCAGCAGTAAATGCACGTGCCGCGGGGACGCGGCGCAGTCCGTCAACCGAAATCTGTAACCACGTGCTGACGGTACTTGAAATTGGCGAGCGCCCATTGTCATCGGAACTGTGAATGAATTTGTACAGCAGCCACGGCAACATCAAGTCGGCCCTCAACGAGACGCTGGCGACGCCGCCGCTGCCGCCGAGGTCGTGCGAGCCATCATCCAGGGTGTACGCTTGGCTAAGGTGCTGGAACAACATCTTTCGTTTCTCAGACTTGTGGACATCTCCGTAGTTCTTCACGCCGAGCTCGACCAGCCAGTGGTCTTGCAGCCAGAAAAGTGAAGTCCCCAAGTCTTGGCTCGCGAGCTGGAAGACTGCGTAGCCCTCCCGCGTGAGCCCCTTGATGTTGATCGTTGCCTCCGTTGTCCTGTCCCATGTCAGGGACGTGGGCGGCCGCTGCCGCCTGCCCTCATTACCAAGGTCGCCCATCGGCGCCAGCCGACGGCATCCAGCTGGCGCAGTTGGAGGCGATGCCTCCAGCAAGCCAAACGGCTTGAGCCAAAATGGCTGCGGTCGGCGGAGGAGGAGGCAGTCTGGCGGGAGGGGGGGTGCGGGAGGGGTGGGGAGGGTTGAGGATGGTAGGATGGGAAGCGGGAGCGATGCCCTTTGCCGTCCAGGGGGAGGGAGGCTTTGAGTACCAGAGGCCCCAATATCCAGAAGCGCCCCGACTCAAACGCTACCGACCCTCAAGGCCACGCGCGGTGTTCCGAGGGGCTCCGAGATGGCTCAAGACAGGCTTGCAATAGGTTCGAAGCAAACACCGCAACGCATGATTGCGAAACAGGCCCGAACTAGTGTTGCAACGATTGGTACCGCAGTTTGCACCTACAGACATGGTCCTAAGAAGATGTTCCAGAGCGGTGAGACCTAGATTAGATGGCTTCGAGATGCCCCCGAGAAATCATCCCGCCTCTGAGGTAAGCGTTGCTTGGGATCTGGTCCGAGACTGGTTTGCAACGATTTGTATCGCAGCTTGCACCTACAAAACTGGCCCTAAGATGTTACACCACGATGGGGGCCTCGATGACACCGTTAAGTCCTTGAGAGAGCTCCGAGAGGCATTGAGACCTCAGAGATCGTTGGAAGGTACATCTCGGCTGGCCCCTTTGTGAGCCTCCGAGGGGTGAGGACTCGCACCATATGAGCCTCCGAGGGATCATGAGGTTGCGAATCTGCGCTCGATCAAATGGAATGGTGCAGTCACAGTTGCCCTAGCACGCGCGAGCTCGGCTGCTGCCCACATGCTTACCCCAGCCCACAAGTGGAGCGCGCGCAATCTTTCATTGTTAGATTGCGAGCCCTCAACGCCCACTGCGGTTGAGCAAAACGCAGCCGACGTTCAAACTAGAGCGACGCAAGGATGGTCAGTTAACCTCAGCATGCTGTCTCATGAATGCGATCACACGTTATCATGGCTGTTCTTGTTATGTGTTCTGACCAACCAGTCTACGCCAAACAAAAACTGGGCAATGTGACTGGCGAGGTTCGCAACGGCACCTCGGACGACGGCGCACCTGCTTCAGAGGGCGCCGTCCTTACCGCCCTCACTCGCCGCATCCGTCTTGCACTTCTTCTCGGGCGGGGCACCCTCGAGAGGGGCTGGGGGCTGGCTGGGCTCAGGAGCGGGAGCCGAGGCTGCTTTCGGCGCCCCCAGCTGCGCAAGCTTCTGCAAAAGCTCAGGGGTCAGCTGCAGCTTGCCATCGGTCGTGAGCTTGAGCCCCTTGCCCTGGAACGGAACGAAGCTAGGCAGCGTCGCGTCCCCTGACGACCCTGCTGATGGGTCGGCCGCGCTGCTGGCGGCGCCATGGCCACTGGGCTCGCGCGCGGCTGCGGCCTGAGGCGAACCGTCCGCGTCGGCGAACAGCTCTGCTTCGAATTCCGCCTGAGACGTGAACTTGGGAACCTCTAGCGCCGCCGGCGCCCCCTTGCTCGTCGCTGGCTTCCCGACCTCCTTCATGTTCGGAGCAGGGGCCCGCTCCATCGGCTGGGGCGCATGCTGATGGACGCCTCCGCCCTCGATGAGCCCCCCCCTGCGCGCGACGGGCATGCACTCGACGGGGTAGCCCAACCGCTTCGCCATGGCGTTGGTGTTGCCGAGGTCTGCGCTCAGGTCATTCAGGCGCGTCGGGTACACGCTGATGGTCCTCTCGATTTCTGCAGCGATTGCCTCCCTCATCTCTCCCTTGCTCTTCGCCGTGAAGTCCTTGATGCGCGTCTCGGGGCCCAGATTGCTCGCGATGAAGATCAGCTCGTCCACTGCGTCGTCGTCGAGGCCGCTGAGCAGTATAGGCGAGAAGCGCTTGCTGTCGTAAGACTGCAGCGCCTGCACCTTCATCCTCCGTGGGAGGACGGTGCGCGCGTTGAATTTCCAGGCCGCCCCGAGGTAGCGGTAGGACGTGGAGACCCGCTGCGACTCGTCCCCGAACAGGAGCTTGCAAGGAGACTCCCCGTCGGGGTTGGCGACGGCTGCGACCGACCTGCCCAAGACGGGCTGCGAGGCAGTCGATTCCTGCGCCGCTGGAATTGACTGCGATTGCGCTGTCGCTGGCGCAGGCTGGTTCTGCGCAGCTTGCTGCGCAGACAGTAGCAGCGCCAATTGCCCGATGTCCGCATGTGGAGGCGGCGGCGGCTGGGGCGCCTGCGCGACGCTGCCCATCTGCTGCATGGCCATGCGAAGCAAGAGGTTGGTGAGGTCTGCTTGGCCAGCCATGGTGTTGTTTGGCTGGCACGTGCAACGAAGCCGCGTATGCTTGATGAGCGAGGTTTGAGCCGAGATGCTTACGGAGAGTTGGCATTGCCGTTTAACGTGCGTGTTTGTTTGGTTTGATTCGGTGCGCTTGGGCACTCTCGGCGCCTCTCGTGCGTCGTGCGTGCTCGTCGCGTCCGAATGTTTCGGGCTGCGTTTGCGCTGCTGCTGAACGCTCGGGCACCGAATGGGGATTGAGCGGCCCCCGAGCAACCCGACACTTTAGACCAACAGGCGTTTCGACGAGGCACGGAGCGCTTCCCAACCAGCTCGAGGCCTCGATGGGGCCTCGACGGGGCGCAAGCGACGCCGCCAGCGATCTCATGTAGACGCTGAGGGTCTAGCAGAGAGGAGCGCAAAGAGGAGGCCGTCGACAAATAGGAGCGAATGGCCAAGGATGTGACGAGGCGGACGGGGAGGATGACGAAGAGGAGGTAACAAGGGCGTCGACGTCGACGACGACGGCGACTCGACGATGACGACTACCGACGAAGCCAAACGACATTTCTTCGACGCGTTCGTTTCGAACTTGAGGGGCCGTCAACGTCGCGTTCGTGAAAGGGTGGGTTCGGCCGATCTTCCTTCTGTGAGTTCCTCCTCCTCCTCCTCCTCATCCCCCTCGTCATCATTTTCTCAAGGTGGCCTGCCGCCGCCTCTCCTTTCTCTCAAGTGGCTTCGGCCGCTATTGATTCTATAGCATATGCACTATCATTGCAGTTGCGATCGCAGAATGTCAAGGCGAAGCCAGCGCCGAGACGAGGCTGCACCGTTTCTGGAGGGACAATGGGGCCACGACGAGGGGGACGTAGCAGGCACCATTGGGGATCCCTGGCAACCGACGGTCTCCCAACTTCAGTTTCTCGAACGCCCAGGCTCGCCAATCGATCGGTGCCGCCTGGCGGTGCGATGCCGATGCCGACATCAAGAGAGCGAAAGCGCGGCCGAACTAGTCTACGGGCATCAAAAAAGTCGCAGGTGGCCCTGACATATCCATTCGCATCGCTGACTGCACAAGCCTCCTTCGGTGACTCTTTGCGCTTGGGAGGGCGCTCGACCACTGACAACATACAACTTCAATGGACAACTGGCACTGTGAACACTTGATTCCAAAAACGGCGGAGTGTAAACAAACCTGGCCCAAGGAGTTCCCTTTCACGAAAGCACCTGGAAACCGACGGTGGACACACGCGGGCATTGTGAGAACTCACCTGTCCGAAGGAAAAGGCTGAGCAGGGGTCGCGCCGACCCGTCGACTGAAGCTAGAGGCTCAGTCACTGTCGCTGCTGCTGCTGCCCTGCGCAGGGCCACCGCTCGAAGAAGGCTGACCACCCTCGACGCGCGGGGCTGGGACGGGCTGCGGCTCTTTCTTCGCCAGGAAGCACTGCTTGTAGCCGTAATCGACGGCGACATCCTCGATGAAGAACTCCAGGAGGTGGTTCCGCATGTGGGTCTGGCGAGGTGGATCTGAGTGGAGCACCATCTTCGACTGTTTGTGGATGGCCTCACGCAACTGTGCCCTCGTCAGGTCCTTGCCGAAATGCGAGAGCTTCGTGTCTGGGTCCAGGTTCGTGGCCAGGAAGAGAATCGCGTCCACGGCAGTCTCGGTCATGTTCTCCGCGCGGTGCATCGGGAGCACGTCTGGAGCCGCGGCCTCTAGCAGAGAGCGCCGCACTTTGAACGGCAGGGCGTTCTTGTGGAAGTAGGAGGCTCCGAGGTAGAAGTTCGACTTCGCGATGGGGACCATGTCGTCAGCGCGGAGAGGGCGTTCGCCGAACACGTGGTGGTCGCGGGGGTGCACCTCGAATATCGGGAGCACGACGCCTTCGCCAGTTTGCCCACCTGTGAGGCCGTTGTTCTTGAACAACGTGTCAAGCGTCTGCTGGCCAACCATGTTGGCCTGACCGTTCTTCGACATGCCGTAGCCTAAACGTCCTGACCCGACGCCGCTCATGACGCCTTAGCTCGAAAACGCTTGAGCCCGTGGGATGGCTACGGATTGCAGTTGCAGGGGATGTAACAACTCTGCGTGCTGTGGTGGGCTGGCGCTGGTGATTGCAGTGATGATGAAGTTGATATTTATGTTGTGATGAGGTTGCCGTTGCATGGCGTGCGCTCGGAAACCCAACCCAGGGGGCAAGCAGGATAACTCCTGGCATCGCACTCGCACAAGTCCCCCCTTTCATGCTCCCCCAAACTGGCGGCGAAAGATTTTCTACGATAGTGAGAAATCGTCCCCAGACTATGTTTCTACTATTCCTGCATACTCCTCCTGTAGAGGGACAGGCCAGACTCAATAGTAGCCCAGGACGCTCCCAGGCAGCCGCTCGACAGTTTTAAGAAAAATCCTCCAGGCCGCCGTGAGAGCCTCAATTCCGACCAGTGAAGCCACATGATGGCCCAAGACGGCTCCATGGGGCAAGCAATTGCTTGGCTTCCTGACTTGTCTTGCGGATTCGATCGTCAACGCTTTTGTTTGCGCTGCCCCCGAAACCGCCAGCAAGCCCCTAAGAAGCCCCAGAGAAGCACCCGAGGGCGCCACGGAGGCTCCAAAGAGGGTGCTCTGTCACTTCTCCGGTCACGAGATGCTCTTCAAGCCATTCTGGGATAGTCGTCGGCCGGACTTCGCCATGAGAACCTGCAGCCGCACACTCTGCTTGCGGGGAGCACGGGGAACGGGCGAAGCCACAGCCAGACATTCAAGAAAGGGGCCAAGGGTGTTCAGAATGTGTATGTTCAAACGGGGGGGGGCAGGGGGGGCGAGCGGACGAGCAGGGGGAACGAGCGGGCATGTATGTATGTGTGTATGTATGCGATCGTGTATATTTGTGTGTATATATATATATGCATGTATGCATGTCTGATTGTACCTATGTGTGTACGGCTTTAGGCCTCAAGAAGAGAAACTGAAACCACCATCGGGGAAAGGACGAAAAATGAGAGAGGCTGGAGACGGTCGGCGCTGGAACAATCCGCGGCACTGCACACGCTTCGCTCGTCCCCCTCGCTGGCGCGACTGGAGCTTGGATGATGCGGGGCCGGAGGCGGCGCATAAAAAAAAAAGGTGTGGACACAAGAGGGAGGAGGAACGGAGGGGGAGAGGAGGGGAGGAGGAGGGCGGAGGAAAAACAAAGGAGGAGGAGGCGGAGGAGGAGGAAGACCATATCAGACTCCCATGGGGGCTCAGCTCCACTCCGTGACAACTGAGACGCCCTAGGACCGATCTAACTGCCGCGATTTCGGACCAACGCCCGCCCTGAGTTTCCAGGGCAGTGGAACCCTAAACAACCACTGACAAATTCACAATCTGAAACCTAACAAGCGCGCCGCGGACCCCGAGAGACTGTCCCCGAGGCCAGAATCACGGAACGACTCGACTACAGAGGTCCTGGCACGGTTGGAGGGGAAGGACGAGGATCACGAGGACCCGGGGAGGGGAGGACGGCAACCTGGGCGGTGGCAGATTCGGGGGCCTCACGTAGCCGCCGTCGTCGCCGCTCTCGAAGCCGTCAAGGGTCCCCTCGTCCCTGAGGGTGCAGTAACTCTTTTAGCAGCGCGCAGCATCGAACGAATTCGTGGTACACCACTCGTACCACTGGCTCCTGAAACACAGCGCATATCAGCAACAACTCCAGGGCCCCTCATGCCAATAGACATCGCCACATCGGCGTTGCTCCTATCCTGCATCTCAACCCCATCTAGATCTCCATGTCCCCGTTCTCGACAAACGTCTGGAGGATCCGCTCGAGATGACCCATCGGGGCCGTTCCCTCCTTCACCTCCGCCCCGAGCTGCTCGCAACAGGCGACTGATGGCTCGAGACTCGAGCCTCGGCATCGAAACCTTGCACTGGCCCTCTCGGACGGCCGTCTGGATCTTCACGAAGGGGAGCTCCGCCGCCATATCCTGCAACGATTTCTTGGCCACCATATCCTTCCACTCGGTCAGGCGCTTCGCGATGAAAACACCCACGCTCTGCCCAGACCTCTCGCAGCCCCCTCGGACATCCGGACCAGGCACGCCACCGAGATCGAGCCTATCTCCGCCAGCTCGCTCGCCTTGCCGCGCGCCCTGGGGTCCTGGGCCGACTCCACCCACGCCTTCACCCGAGCGCGACCCACGAGGATCGGCTCGGTGCTCTCGCCCATCACCATCGTCAACAAACTACTAGCCTCGACCTGTCTGGTACGTAGCGTCACGCTCATCACGAGCTGCATCAGCACTGGCACGGTTTTTTATCAGTGGCATGTTTGACCAGACCGCACAGTGTTCAAGGAGGAGGAGGAGAAGGAGGAGGAGGCGGAGGAGGGGGGAGGAGAACGGGGCATAGCATGAGGACCAGACGGAGGGTGAAAAAAAGGATGGGACCACGTCCGCCGTCGAGGATGACGAAGGTCCGGCATCGGCTGGACCTCTGGGGCAGATCCGGCGTAGCCTTTTTTTTCCGCCTGCGCAGGCATCGAGCCTGCCCGGCAGATCTCGGCCAGCAGCGTCACGTGCGCGCTGCCGCATCTTGCGCAGCACTCGCTCAAGGATCTGGGTGGACGGACGGGGGGAGAACTAACTCCTCCTCCTGCTCCTCCTCCTCCTCCTCCCCCTTCTCCTCCTCCTCCCTCCTCCTCCTCCCCCTCCTCCCCCTCCTCCCCCTCCTCCTCCTCCTCCTCCCCCTCCTCCTCCTCCTCCCTCCTCCTCCTCCTCCTCCTCCTCCTCCTCCTCCTCCTCCTCCTCCTCCTCCTCCTCCTCTCCTCCTCCTCCTCCTCCTCCTCCTCCTCCTCCTCCTCTCTCCTCCTCCTCCTCTCCTCCTCCCTCCTCCTCCTCCTCCCCTCCTCCTCCTCCTCCTCCTGCCTCCTCCCTCCTCCCCTCCTCCTCCTCCTCCCCTCCCTCCTCCTCCTCCTCCCTCCTCCTCCTCCTCCTCCTCCTCCTCCTCCTCCCCCTCCTCCTCCTCCTCCTCCTCCTCCTCCTCCTCCTCCTCCTCCTCCTCCTCCTCCTCCTCCTCCTCCTCCTCCCCTCCTTCCTCCTCCTCCTCCTCCTCTCCTCCTCTCCTCCTCCTCCTCCTCCTCCCTCCCTCCTCCTCCAACCTCCGTTTCCTCCTCCTCAACCTCCTCCTCCTCCTCCTCCCCCTCCTCCTCTCCTCCTCCTCCTCCTCCTCCTCCTCCTCCTCCTCCTCCTCCCCCTCCTCCTCCTTCTCCCCTCCTCCTCCTCCTCCTCCTCCTCCTCCTCCTCCTCCTCCTCCTCCTCCTCCGTGCTCGACCATGGACCCCCTGTTCGACCCTCCTCGGCGGCCTCTGACGGTCGTCCGGCGGCCTCCCGCGGTCTGTACCTGAGCTCTCTGGCGGTCTCGTGCAGCTTCCAGCGGGCCTCGGCGCGACAACTGGGTGGCAGCTGTTAGCCAGGGAGCCAAGGGCCCACAGTTAACGGGCGAAGAACGGTATAGAATAACTTGTTTGCTGTCGGGGGCGCCTGTCCCAGGGCGGCTAGAAAGTTTATACCCTTACGGTGGCACCGTAGGGGTATAAACTTTCCAGCCGCCCAGGGACAGGCGCCCCCGACAGCGAAAAAGCTTATTTTATACCGTTCTTCGCTCGCTGACACAAGCGCACACCCAGAAGGAGGAAGCTCGAGTCACGAGCGGCGACCACATCCGCATCCGCGCCCTCGCGGTCCTCGCCATCGCTCGGACGTCCATTCCTCGTGTATCTTTCGAATTCGTGCGTGTTTTGTTTGCTCGCCAAATGATCGAGGATGGTCCTCGATGGCCGTCGCCGAGAACAAAAATGCACACGTCCGAGCGATGCCAAGGGTCTGGCCTCGCGGTCTGGCCTCCGGGGCGCGATCACGCGGATGCGCGGTGATAAACGGAGAGGCGGTCCGCGCGGGGCATCCGCCCCAACAGCGCTCCGTATCCGCCGAGGCCTTAAGGTGCCCGGGACGACCGTGTATCGCCTTAACGGGCGAAGAGCGGTATACCATAAACTGTTTCGCTGTCGGGGGCGCCTGTCCCAGGGCGGCTGGAAAGTTTATACCCTTACGGTGGCACCGTATGGGTATAAACTTTCCAGCCGCCAATGGACAGGCGCCACCGACAGCGAACAAATTTATGTTATACCATTCTTCGCTCGCTGAATCGCGGAACGCCCAGTGGTGGAATTGAAGCCGGGTGCGCCCAGCAGCATCCGTAACCGACCCATCCAAACCAGATCGTCCGCCAAGAGGAGAAGATGAGAGTGGGATCGAAGGAAAAAAGCATGTGCGATGGGCGATGGGCGCTGCGCTCAGGTGGATGCCGCACAGGCGCGCCACCCATGCCGGGATCGGACATGCGTACCGCCGACCTGCACAAAACCCGCACTCGTAAATCGGGGAAACGGAAGACTCGGGTACGGGGGACTCGGGTTGGCCTGACGGGGGCCATCAAAAAAATAACGAGACCCAATCTGAAATCTGACGCGGGCTCCCGCTGCAAACATCCCACGAAAACTCGACCGTCAAAACCCAGGACGCGCTTGTCGAACAAAAAGTCGGCAAACCCGAATTCTGGCTTACTCGTGTCTGACGCCTCCCCGATTGAAACGCCCTGGCCTGACTTTGCCCAAGCCAGAGCCGCAACGCGTCACGGCGAAAACCACCCTGGTGAATCCGCCGACCCTGGTGAAGTCGCCCGCAAGGCGGCAAAGCCGAAATTTAAGTCGGGCCTGTCCCCCTACAGGCCGATTTTGGACGAGAAATTGAAAAGACCCCCAAGAACACACCAAAAATGCTCAAACGTTGCCAAGACATCGTCCCCTGACTATTTTTGGACTACTTTTGACCATATCCCCCCTGTACGAGGGACGGGCCCGACTTGAGCCTAAATCTGCCTCGAGAGCCGCGCACTTCGCGGCCCGGCGAGCGGGAAGAACGCCCGAGCCGGCGCCGAGACCGAGAGCCGCGACGCGGCAGCCCCCGGGGCGAGGGAGGCCCAGCGCCGTCGCGCGAGAGCTCCGCGC